TAATCTTGTACTCAAAAACATCAAAGGGGATTAACATAAGATTAAATTTATTTTAGATTAATTCATCTAATTATTAATTGGCATTTGATTACCATCTCAAAAACCCGTTCTTAGAGACTATATTTGATCATCAACTCTACTCTAGCAAGAGAATACAGATGATCATCAACTCTACTCTAGTCTATAGACTAGAGTTGATCCTCAACTCTATTTTAGTCAGATATAGATTGATTATCTACTCTACTCTAGTCAGAGACAATGTTGATCATCAACTCTACTCTAGTCAGAGACTATAGTTGATCATCTACTCTACTCAAGTCAGAGACTATAGTTGATCATCAACTCTACTCTAGTCAGAGGCTATAGTTGATTATCAACTCTACTCTAGTCAGAGACTATAGTTGATTATTAACTCTACTGTAGTCAGAGACTATATAGTTGATTATTAAGTTGATCATCAACTCTACTCTAGTCAGAGACTAGAGTTGATCATCAACTCTACTCTAGTCAGAGACTAGAGTTGATCAGCAACTCTACTCTAGTCAGAGACTAGAGTTGATCATCAACTCTACTCTAGTCAGAGACTAAAGTTGATCATCAACTCTACTCTAGTTAGAGACTAAAGTTAATCATCAACTCTACTCTAGTTAGAGACTAAAGTTAATCATCAACTCTACTCTAGTCAGAGACAATGTTGATTATCAACTCTACTCTAGTCAGAGACTATAGTTGATCATCTATTCTACTCTAGTCAGAGACTATAGTTGATCATCAACTCTACTCTAGTCAGAGACTATAGTTGATCATCAACTCTACTCTAGTCAGAGACTAGAGTTGATCATCAACTCTACTCTAGTCAGAGACTAGAGTTGATCATCAACTCTACTCTAGTCAGAGACTAGAGTTGATCATCAACTCTACTCTAGTTAGAGACTAAAGTTAATCATCAACTCTACTCTAGTTAGAGACTAAAGTTAATCATCAACTCTAGTCAGAGACAATGTTAATCAACAACTCTACTCTAGTCAGAGACAATGTTGATTATCAACTCTACTCTAGTCAGAGACTATAGTTGATCATCTACTCTACTCTAGTCAGAGACTATAGTTGATCATCAACTCTACTCTAGTCAGAGACTATAGTTGATCATCAACTCTACTCTAGTCAGAGACTATAGTTTATCATCAACTCTACTCTAGTCAGAGCCTAGACTTGATCATCAACTCTACTCTAGTTAGAGACTAAAGTTAATCATCAACTCTAGTCAGAGACAATGTTGATCATCAACTCTACTCTAGTCAGAGACTATAGTTGATCATCTACTCTACTCTAGTCAGAGACTATAGTTGATCATCAACTCTACTCTAGTCAGAGACTATAGTTGATTATTAACTCTACTCTAGTCAGAGACTAGAGTTGATCATCAACTCTTCTCTAGTCAGAGACTATAGTTGATCATCAACTCTACTCTAGTCAGAGACTATAGTTGATCTTCAACTCTACTCTAATCAGAGACTATAGTTGATTATCAACTCTAAACTAGTCAGAGACTAGAGTTGATCATCAACTCTACTCTAGTCAGAGACTAGAGTTGATCATCAACTCTACTCTAGTCAGAGACTAGAGTTGATCATCAACTCTACTCTAGTCAGAGACTAGAGTTGATCATCAACTCTACTCTAGTCAGAGACTAGAGTTGATCATCAACTCTACTCTAGTCAGAGACTAGAGTTGATCATCAACTCTACTCTAGTCAGAGACTAGAGTTGATCATCAACTTTACTCTAGTCAGAGACTAGAGTTGATCATCAACTTTACTCTAGTCAGAGACTAGAGTTAATCATCAACTCTACTCTAGTCAGAGACTAGAGTTGATCATCAACTTTACTCTAGTCAGAGACTAGAGTTAATCATCAACTCTACTCTAGTCAGAGACTATAGTTGATCATCTACTCTACTCTAGTCAGAGACTATAGTTGATCATCAACTCTAGTCAGAGACTAGAGTTGATTATTAACTCTACTCTAGTCAGAGACTAGAGTTGATCATCAACTCTACTCTAGTCAGAGACTAGAGTTGATCATCAACTCTACTCTAGTCAGAGACTAGAGTTGATCATCAACTCTACTCTAGTCAGAGACTAGAGTTGATCATCAACTCTACTCTAGTCAGAGACTAGAGTTGATCATCAACTTTACTCTAGTCAGAGACTAGAGTTGATCATCAACTTTACTCTAGTCAGAGACTAGAGTTAATCATCAACTCTACTCTAGTCAGAGACTAGAGTTGATCATCAACTCTAGTCAAGTCAGAAACTAGAGTTGATCATCAACTCCAATCAGAGACTAAAGTTGATCATTAACTCTACTCTAGTTAGAGACTAAAGTTAATCATCAACTCTAGTCAGAGACTAAAGATGATCATCAACTCTACTCTAGTCAGAGACTAAAGTTGATCATCAACTCTACTCTAGTCTTTATGAAAGTACTTTTTGGTAACTTTTCGTTGCTCAATTGGTACGCTTTACAATTTTCTATAAAATTGATCCTGAATGATTGAATATGAACCTATTTAAAGAACATTTTCGTTCAGGAACACAGAAGCTTAAAGACGAAAAGGTGTATATCGTCAGAGCCGCTATCTCCATTAGAGATAGCTTCTCTGTTTCAATCGGCATATATTTACAGTCTATATTTATTGACAAGAATCGTATTTGCCATTGCCTTTATGATTAATCACATGCATTAAACATACATACATATATGTATATATAAGTAACAAGATGTCATCATTAACTGAATGAAATGGAGATTGCGACCTTTGTTTCTACACCCGCAATACCCTTATTTTCATAGATTTTTCTTAATTTATAACACTTTTTATTATAACAAATATAGTAGGGAAATGTCGGAAATAAGTTTCATTCACTGGTATAACTAGTTTGGGACAATTTTCTTCAAACAGGGTGATTTGAAAACTAATATTTTAACAGTTATACATTTCATAAATGGTTGTTGAATTAACTAAATTGGTTTTTATTTGTCGTTACCATTTGTGACTATTAAATTTAAAAAAATTAAATTTATTCAGCAATAGATGGCAGTATCACGCAAGCCCACTTCACACGCTCACATTTTATGTACGTAAAGTCTAATGGAAAAGTAAAATAAAAATCCATCCGTACGACAAAAAAGAGAATAAAATTCGGATGATTTAATTTTTTGCTTTTAATATATAGAATAGATTTCAGACTAGACTATAGACTAGACTATAGACTAGACTATAGACTAGACTATAAACTAGACTATAAACTAGACTATAAACTAGACTAGACTAGACTAGACTAGACTATAGACTAGACTATAGACTAGACTATAGACTAGACTATAGACTAGACTATAGACTAGACTATAGACTAGACTATAGACTAGACTATAGACTAGACTATAGACTAGACTATAGACTAGACTATAGACTAGACTATAGACTAGACTATAGACTAGACTATAGACTAGACTATAGACTAGACTATAGACTAGACTATAGATTAGACTATAGACTAGACTATAGACTAGACTATAGACTAGACTATAGATTAGACTATAGACTAGACTATAGACTAGACTATAGACTAGACTATAGGCTAGACTATAGACTATACTATAGAGTAGACTATATGGAATAGTCTAAGAACTTGCCTTTAGACAAGTCTATAGACTAGACTATAGACTAAACTATAGACAAGACTAGTTGCAGGCAAGACTAGACTATATACTAGGCTATAGTCTAGAGTGAAGACTCGACAAGAGTCTAGCTATAGACCAGACTATAAGTTAGGCTATAGTCCAAAGTGTAAACTCGACAAGACTGATTAAAGGCTAGAATATAGAATAGACTATAAGCTAGAATATAGACTAGACTAAACTGTAGGCTAGACTACAGACAAGACTAGATTATAGACTAGACTATAAACTTGACTATGGACTAGACTATAGACTAGAATATGGACTAGACTATAAACTAGACTAAAGACTTTACTATAAACTATATGCTAGAGTATAGATTATGTATAGGCTTAACTATAGACTATAAACTTAACTGTAGGCTAGACTAGAATATAGACTAGACAAAAAACTAAAGACTAGACTATAGTCTAAACTATAGACTAGACTATAGAAAAGACTATAGACAAGACTTTAGACTAGACTAAAGACAAGAATAAAGACTAGACTATGGACTAGCCTATAGAATAGACTAGACTATATGCTAGATTATAGACTAGACTATATGCTAGATTATAGACTAGACTATACTATAGACTATAACATAGGTAAGACTCTAGACCAGACTATGGACTACACTATAGAGCAAACTATAGGCTAAACTATAGCTATAACTATAGCTAAATCACGGAATTTCATTTAAAACCACACCTTCCCAAATTAAACGCAATAACATATTTCTTGTTTTCAGTTTATGATTTATTTTTCTTAAGTGGAATTTTATTCCTCACAAATTAATAGAAATAAAAATTATTAACACATTTTATTTATAAATTACAAACTACATGCCTTTTTTAAAACACACGCAAAATAATTAAAACTCAAATGCAATTAAATAAAATACATTGGCATTAAAATAAAACTTCTTTAAAAAGTAACAGATAAAAATAGTTACAAATACACAAAAGTTATTTCGGGAAAAAAATTATAAAAATTAGTTTACTTTTTTATACAAAATACAGCAACTGTAAATACCAGAGTTTAAACTAAAAAGGAATAAAATTTGAGTTAATATTTTGAGTAGAAAAATGTTTTGTAAAAAGAAATGTAAAAAAAGCTACAACTATGCAACATAATAAAAAAAATTATTAAATAAAAATGCAAACCATTACAAATGCATAATTAAAAAAAAAATAGTTTTTGTTTAAAGGAATAGTAGAAAAATAAAAGAATTTTTTAGTAGTAAAATTTTTAGTCTTAGTAAGTTTCTGTTTTTTTTTTTTATATGTAAATAAAAAATGAGTACTTTTTTATTTATTTTATTTTACAAGTACATTTTTCGATGTATAAAAATATATTATATTTATAAAGTTTTAAAGAATAGTTGTTAATAAACGATTTTTAGTTATAAACGGCAATCGTTTTTAATAGAACCATTCATTCGTTTATATATTAGGTATAAAATAAGTAGTAGTAGTGGTAGTTAAAAGTATAGTTTTATATAATGACTTAAATGACTATAAAAAGTGGCATTGTTTTTTTTTTCTTTAATTACTTTTTTTTTCTATATGTACATGATAATTATTATTAAGAGTTATTTAGGAATAAATTATTATGCAGAACCCATTAAAGCTTCATTACTGAGCATTTCTCGCGTTACCAGAGAGCCGGGATTTATTCTTGTTCTCGAACGCGAACGACTTAGTTGCGCCCGTCGCTCAGCACCAGCCGGTCGTTGTCTACGCTGTTGACGATTATTGCGATTGCCAAAGGCGGAACCTGTCTGTAATGCTTCTAGCAAACTGTCCATAACACCTTCTTGCGTTTGTGCCGCATCCATATCGACTAAGGCCAGCTTACGTTGTTGTCTTTCTAGTTGTTCACGCAACGATTGCTCTCGGGCTTCTTGCATGCGTCGTTTCTTTTCTTCCTCCTCACGTTGACGTATGATTTCTTGGTGGGCCTGAACGAAGGCATCCTTAAAGGTTTTGATATCGGCAAAGAATTCTTCCATTGTATATTTGCTGGGATCGAAGACGAAATATTCGCCCAAATCTTTGTACAGTTTTTCCATTTGTACTTGCATTTTGCCTAGATTAGATAAAGGAAAGTTTTCGATTAAATTGTGATTTGCGTCAGTGTTTACTTAGTATCTATCTATCTATCTATCTCTATCTATCTATCTATCTATCTATCTATCTATCTATCTATCTATCTATCTATCTATCTATCTATCTATCTATCTATCTATCTATCTATCTATCTATCTATCTATCTATCTATCTATCTATCTATCTATCTATCTATCTATCTATCTATCTATCTATCTATCTATCTATGTATCTATATATCTATCTATCTATCTATCTATCTATCTATCTATCTATCTATCTATCTATCTATCTATCTATCTATCTATCTATCTATCTATCTATCTATCTATCTATCTATCTATCTATCTATCTATCTATCTATCTATCTATCTATCTATCTATCTATCTATCTATCTATCTATCTATCTATCTATCTATCTATCTATCTATGTATCTATCTATCTATCTATCTATCTATCTATCTATCTATCTATCTATCTATCTATCTATCTATCTATCTATCTATCTATCTATCTATCTATCTATCTATCTATCTATCTATCTATCTATCTATCTATCTATCTATCTATCTATCTATCTATCTATCTATCTATCTATCTATCTACTATCTATCTATCTATCTATCTATCTATCTATCTATCTATCTATCTATCTATCTATCTATCTATCTATCTATCTATCTATCTATCTATCTATCTATCTATCTATCTATCTATCTATCTATCTATCTATCTATCTATCTATCTATCTATCTATCTATCTATCTATCTATCTATCTATCTATCTATCTATCTATCTATCTATCTATCTATCTATCTATCTATCTATCTATCTATCTATCTATCTATCTATCTATCTATCTATCTATCTATCTATCTATCTATCTATCTATCTATCTATCTATCTATCTATCTATCTATCTATCTATCTATCTATCTATCTATCTATCTATCTATCTATCTATCTATCTATCTATCTATCTATCTATCTATCTATCTATCTATCTATCTATCTATCTATCTATCTATCTATCTATCTATCTACCTATCTATCTATCTATCTATCTATCTATCTATCTATCTATCTATCTATCTATCTATCTATCTATCTATCTATCTATCTATCTATCTATCTATCTATCTATCTATCTATCTATCTATCTATCTATCTATCTATCTATCTATCTATCTATCTATCTATCTATCTATCTATCTATCTATCTATCTATCTATCTATCTATCTATCTATCTATCTGTCTCTCTATCTATCTAATCGATCTATCTATCGATCTATCTATCTATCGTATCGAGCTGATCGATCTATCTATCTATCTATCTATCTATCTTCTATCTATCTATCTATCTATCTATCTATCTATCTATCTATCTATCTATCTATCTCATCTATCTATCTATCTATCTATCTATCTATCTATCTATCTATCTATCTATCTATCTATATTCGATTAGCAGGAAAGGAAATATTGTAAAAACTAACACTTACCCAGCACATCAACTTAGCTGCCTACAGTCCAACGGCAAATTACCTCATCACCCTCACTAAAACTTATCATCTTCACATTGTGGCACTTTATTGTTTGCAAATCGGTTTCTAAATTCTTAACAGCAGAAGTCATTTGTCTCATTGACTTTTGTATGGCATCTAAATTGACACGTGACGCCTTGTCCACGTGTGTCATATCATTGTAAAAGGTTAAAGCATCGGGGAATTTCTTTTCCACTACATCGACCAGGTAGTGCAGCAGTGTTTGCTTATTTTCGGCATCTTTTGTGTTTGTTAATTTGGTCAGATAGGAGATTTCAAAACCAAAGGCGGGATCATTTTTGGTGCCGGAATTCATGTAATTACCCATGAGTAATATAAGCTCCAGAATTTTAGAGAATTTCTTACTATTGCGCACTTCTTCACAGGCTGCAGTGCCGGCCACAATATCGGGCTTAATATCTTGCATCATATCGGCGAAGGTTAACTTAAAGTTGAGATTGTGTAGGCGAGGCGAGAGGCGTTTTATTTCTCCTGAAAAAGAAATATTTATTAATTATATTCTTTAAAATAAGATATTTTTGGCACCCACCTATAGTAGCTGCAAACTGTTCTATGGGCGGTAGGGGTTCTCCTTTAGCTTTAATTTCCTGCAAACGTTTCAATTGCTCTGGCGGTGGTAAATATTGTATAAGATTTTGCAATATATTGGAAGACAAAATATCGGTATCACAGCGTAAAAGACATATTTTGATTTGTTCATAAGACAAATGCTTGAGCGAGCCACCCAGGAGAATAGAAAGATTTTGAGCCGCCTTACCATCAAGCACTCTTAAGTCAATATTTTTCTTGGTCAATGTTGTTGGTTTATCCACAGAATCTTTTTGATCCTTTTTCACCGGTTTCGAAGAGAACTTAAGGGAAAGTTCGTTTAGCATATCGTCCGAGGCTAATTTATCTTCTTGACATTTAACCCAAAATGATTTTTCTGACATTTTTTGAGGTACAATGGCTTTCCAGTTAGCACGTTTCATAGGATTCTTAACTTCCCACTTTTTCTTGGGTTTCAAGCCATGCGGGAGTACAGGGGCCATGGGTATAAGCATAGGAGGTGGTGGTGGACCTCTAATGCCAGGACCCATGCCAGGCATGGGTGGAGGTGGTGGTCCAGGAGGACCGCCCATACCGGGCATGGGAGGAGGTGGTGGTGGCCTTGGTCCACCTGGTCCCATACCTGGCATTGGTGGGGGAGGTGGTGGTGGCGGTCCACCGCCACTTTGAGGCATACCAGGCATTGGTGGTGGAGGAGGAGGTGGTGGACCACCACCGCCCGCTCCAGGTAAGGGTATATTTACCTTTGGTAATTTGTTAGGCGATTGAGCTACCACACCATTTGCTTCCATTAATTTAACCTTCTCCTCTAAATGTGCTGCTTTTGCTTCCGCCTCCTGTTTGGCAATTTCCAATTCTTCGATTTTCTTCTCATACTCCTCCGAACGCTTGGTCTCTTTGGCTTTAGTCTTTTCAACAATATCGTCCAAAAGCAGCGAAGAATCAATATGAAAATCGCGATTTTCAAAATTGGGATCACCAAATTTGTGAAAAACTATTTGTGACACACACTCTTCTATCAGTTGATAATAGGCTGGCCGATAATAGAAATCATCACGTATATAGAGTAAATGTTGTAATATCGATAGGAAATAAGGTTCTGCGGGGGTATCGGTGACAATATTCTTAATAACATCAAAACAATCCGTAACATCATCCATATTGTAGGTAACATTATCAAAACGTTGTGTGAATTCCTCAAAATCATCTTCACGTATTTCATTAAAGATTTTAAAATGTTGCTTCAAGGCGTCATTATTACTCTTCTCCACAATGTCTTTAAATTTATCAAATTTCCCATATAAACCCATACGCATAATTTCACAGCGCAAATGTAGACGAAAGTTCAAGTCACTCGGTGTATTTGTTAAAGTATTAATAAAAATTAAACTATGACATGCTAAATCTCTACGAGCATCATATTTTTCATCCACAAACAAAGCATCTACTATGGGCCGAAAACGCTCGCTAGACTTGTATGACGTTGAGGCCGCTGTTGTTATCGCTCTCAATACTTTCTCATAACCATTACGATCGTGCACTAAACAGAATGAAGCCAACAGCTTAACCGCTTCACACATAGTGCTAGGCTTACGAGGATCTAGGGATTGTGCCAATAGTAATACTACCGTATGTTGATCGGGTGTAAGTACTAGATTTAAACCCCATGTATTATTCATTATCGCCTTAAGGCATTTTATACATTCCAATTCGATACGATCGAAGGTGCGCTGTTCCTGCTTACAACGTCTAAGCAGATTGATAATTTCATCGATACCATCTTCACCGAATTCTTTAATCCACGACAGGGGATTATTTGTAAGCGCCACACGTAAACTTTCGATACAGGCATAAATTTTATTTTCACTATGTTCTCCATTGCGCAGGTACTCGATGTAATCTAAGGGTTTTTCAAATTTTGAATTTGCTCGATGTTCGAGGGAATTTTTGCCTAAAAGAATAAGATAAAATAGAAATGTTATTTTAATCGGTTTTTTGGGGGAAAGGTATAAAGTTTATAAATTATTAGCTACCGTATCAAGCTTTCTTTCGGAAGTTTATGTCTAATTTTATAAATCTCTTAATATCTCGAAAACCAAATAAAATTTAACATAAATAACTATAATTTTGCCATGATTGCTAACAACTTTTGTATAAAACACTCTTCCCAAAATCACTTAAACTTTAAACTGAAATCTAGATATGTTTGATATACAGATGACTTCCAATAGACTATTATGTGTATGGGCTTTATCGTTCAAGCTTCCTTTCCAGTTTTTATTGAAACTATATAAAACATTTTAAGAACTAAATAAAACATTTGGGTTTTGAAAATGTGTTATACAATGAGTTTTGGAAGTACGAAGGTTAAAAGATTGCAAATCCTAATGACTTGGAGCAATTTTTTATCAGTTTTTTTGTTGTTTATAAAAATGAATCACAATTTAATTATTTCTTGATTAGTTAAAAGTATTTATTCTGCAAAAATTACAGTTTTTATACCTGTAAATATTAGCTATGAAAGATATAGAAACAAAGGTAGCAACAGGCAGTTGTATAGCTTTTGAAATAAATGATTTTTTTAATTATCTAGGCTTCTTCTATTTCAACTAGAGTTTAAAGAAGAAAAGGAACAAAAATCTTCTTAGTCCAACTTGAATTCGAATTGCCTAAGATTTTACAGAGAATATTGGGACTTAAGTTTTCGTATTGAAATATGCTGACTTTTCAGGTAAACGAAATTAACTACCTTTACTTTCCTTAAGTCTTATCTAGGATATTAATATTCTAACTTTTACATCAAATCTGAAGAAATACACCTAGGCCTCCATTGGGCCTATTGTGCGCTCCTTTACCACTGCCACTGGTGGGAATCGAATCGACTATTTCCGGTCTGACAGACTTGAACACTAACTACTAACCTACCGGAGTCATACTTGAGTTACAAAGAAGATTTTTGCTAAAAATCAAAAAGATTTTCTCTTTAGCTTGAACTTTTTAATACCTTAACCTTCTAAACACTTCATGGATTCGGTTTTCAAAATATCCAACATTAGTAAAAACTATCCAGTTCAAAGATTCTGAGGATTTGAGGTGGAGAGTTTGATTACAATTTTTCTTACTTGCACCTTCTTCTTTCACTGTTAGACACAAAATTCAGTATTAATCTATTTCAAAAACGTATATACAGATGTCCATATTCCAAGAGTAGTGCAAAGTTGTTTAAAATATGAGTTGTTTTTGATTCCCAAGATCCTCAATAATAAAGGGGAAGAGTTTGGTTTTAGTTGTTGTTACCTACAGCTTCTAATTTATCTATTAAACTAAAATCAAGCATTAATTTTGATCAATTTACAGATGTAATAACTTTCAAATTCTCTAAAAGTTTCCACTTCCAACACACGCAACATTGAAGGATACAATTTCTTTTGTATACAATTAGTTCCTATCTCAATCAAACTAAAATCAACCATCAAACTTGATCAGCAATTGCCTATAGATGTGCATATTCCCACGAAAGTGTATTAACTTTCAAATTCTTAACAAGGTGACTATTTATATGGAAAGTCAGAAGGCACTGAAGGTGTAAAGCTGTTTATTAAGTGAAGAACTATAAAAATGATCACGAACGTACTAGCTAGAAAGAGTTCAAGACTTGATCTAACAAGATAAGACAGATAAATAACATATCTGATCTGACGGGAGTCATACACGACCAAACATTATCAGCAAACATTATCAGCAACCGTTCCTAACATTTTGTTGACTAATTTATTAATGCTTTGAAAAATAAAAAAAATCACCTTCAAAATTCAAATTTATACATTATTTAGTTTAATGTTCTAATTTCGCTTTTTTAGTCATACGTTTTTTTTTTATATTCCTCAATAATTTCCGTAATATTTTAAATTAATCACATAAATGTGATAAAAATTATATTAAACAAATAAAAAATTTTGTCTAACCGTTTCTCTTCTAATATAAAAAATACATACTAACCACTACCTACCGACAATACGTTAACAGAATAAATTTAAATGCATACACTTTCGTACGTTTTTTTTAATAAGTTATATAAAAATTTGACATTTCAGTGTCAACAAATGAAAACGCAAAAATATATTAATAATATTCTTATTATTATTGTATACAGAAAGCACTTTGTTTAAAATTGTTGCTTTATATGTGAATATACTTAAAAATATATAATAAACAATTCTGTTTTGTTTTTAAAATTTTTTTTAAATTAAATAATAAGCAACGGGAGAAAATGGGAAGACATTGTAATTAAAATGCTCGTCGATAAAGTTAATGTATACAAAGTGTAAAAACTAAAGTTGTATTTGAAAATTATTGAAATTTATTTTAAACTACCTACACATGTGCCTGTATTTACCATGACCACTTGTCAAAATGTAAAAGTTTTACGCTACATTTGCAATGTCTATTTAGAATTTGTTTATCTCATTTGTAATTGGGTGTAAATTTAATAAATAAATATTACTGTTTATCTATATGTATATCAGTATAACTGTAAATATACAGTAGGTAAATTACCAAAAAGTTCTTAAAAAAGTTAGTATCTATAAAGCTTAAATTCAAGCAATTAGAAAACAACCAAATTTGTGATAGAATGAATGAAATATCCTGAACCTAATGATGACAAATTTAAAAACTTTTGAGCTTCGTGAGAAGGATTTGTGGAAGGTTGTCATTCCATTTGTAATTTCCATATTATCAATATTCTGAATCCCTACAGAATGGCAAAGACGATTTGGCGATGTCAGTCTGTCTATTTAAAACAAGGTTCTGAAGTCCCCAGATATCCAAGTCTTATATAATGCTATCAGACTATAGACCAGACTGTATACTAGAATATAGATTACACTATAAATTATTAGACTAGACTATAGACTAGACTATAGACTAGACTGTAGACTAGACCATAGACTAGACTATAGACTAGACTATAGACTAGACTATAGACTAGACTATAGACTAGACTATAGACTAGACTATAGACTAGACTATAGACTAGACTATAGACTAGACTACAGACTAGACTATAGACTAGACTATAGACTAGACTATAGACTATACTATAGACTAGACTATAGACTAGACTATAGACTAGACTATAGACTAGACTATAGACTAGACTATAGACTAGACTATAGACTAGACTATACTATAGACTAGACTATAGACTAGACTATACTATAGACTAGACTATATTATAGACTAGACTATAGACTAGACTATAGACTAGACTATAGACTAGACTATAGACTAGACTATAGACTAGACTATAGACTAGACTATAGACTAGACTATAGACTAGACTATAGACTAGACTATAGACTAGACTATAGACTAGACTATAGACTAGACTATAGACTAGACTATAGACTAGACTATAGACTAGACTATAGACTAGACTATAGACTAGACTATAGACTAGACTATAGACTAGACTATAGACTAGACTATAGACTAGACTAGACTAGACTATAGACTAGACTATAGACTAGACTATAGACTAGACTATAGACTAGACTATAGACTAGACTATAGACTAGACTATAGACTAGACTATAGACTAGACTATAGACTAGACTATAGACTAGACTATAGACTAGACTATAGACTAGACTATAGACTAGACTATAGACTAGACTAGACTATAGACTAGACTAGACTATAGACTAGACTAGACTAGACTATAGACTAGACATGACTATAGACTAGACTAGATTATAGACTAGACTAGACTAGACTAGACTAGACTAGACTAGACTATAGACTAGACTATAGACTAGACTAGACTATAGACTAGACTAGACTATAGACTAGACTATAGACTAGACTATAGACTAGACTATAGACTAGACTATAGACTAGACTATAGACTAGACTATAGACTAGACTATAGACTAGACTATAGACTAGACTATAGACTAGACTATAGACTAGACTATAGACTAGACTATACTAGACTAGACTAGACTAGACTAGACTATATACTAGACTATAGACTAGACTATAGAATAGATAATATCGACTAGACTAGACTCCACAAATAAAATATATACTTTTACTTTTAGTCATGCTGACATTTTTCAATTCCATTCTAAACGTAATAAATTTAAAAATAAAAATGCATTCATTTTAAATTTTTAGTTAGTATACAAATATTAAATATAAAATTAAAAATTCAAACAAACAACAATAAAATCTATTTTAAAGAAATCGCAAAATTTATTTATATCATTTTTCTTTTATGTTTTTACACGTTTATTTTTGGGAACATTTCTTTTTTATTTCAAATTTCGTTTCTTTTTTTCTCTGTTTCAAGTGTAACGTATATTTTTAAATAAACGATAAAAGTCAAGGTCATTTTGTATTAAACCAGCTGTTTTTGTTATTTTTTTATCATTTATACATAAGTATAAGTGTATGAATGTTTTTCAATGTAGATTTTAAACAATTTTATATGATTTTAATTGTTTTTTTTTGTTGCTTTTGTTTAAATAAGGTTAAACAAACAATGTATTGATAAGAAAGTTTATGCTTAAAATGTAATTAAATTTTTGGTTGGTTTTCAAAGCTCAAAAGTACAGTAGTTTTCCGATTTAACGAACCCATATGTTGTCAGGCCTGTTCGTAAAATTGAAAAGTTCGTTATATGCAGTACTAACTAAAACGTGGGTTTTTGGTAGGAAAATAATTAAAAATAGGTACATAAAATATTTTTTAAATGTATTTTATAAAAATTAATTCTTTTTTTTATAAAAATAGCACAAAACACAAAATTCCGAATCTTATATACCCACCTTCAAACCATATTTGTGTCGAATTTAATCGCTGTATTTTTAATTGTCATGAGCTTTAAAGTTATTTCTCGAAGTTCATTGCTATACTCGTATTTTTAAGCGAGTAATGAGCGTTGAAGTAATTTTCTTATGGAGGTATGGAGGGTAAGGTCAATTATGGACCGATTCCCATAAAATTTGTTAGAGATATCGGTTAGTATAGAACATGTTTGTATCGAATTTCATCGGAGTACTCATATTGTTAAGCGAGTATTGAGCGTTAAAGTCATTATCTGAAGGACGGACGGACATAGCTACATCGAACTAAAATTTAATAAGAACCCAGAATGTGTTACAGTTTTGGGTATAAAAGCACCGCTTGATACAACTTAGGTTATTTGTTATTTTTGATAAATGTCATTTTATCTTCATTTAAATAATAATATTTTTATTAGTTCGTTAAACAGAGTACAAAATACAAGTTTTGTTCGTTATTTAAGGTAGTCAATAGGAAAAATTAGCTTGTTCGTTAAATGCGATGTTCGTAGAATTGAATGGTCGTTAAATCGGAAAACTACTGTAATTGTATGTCTTTGAAAAAAATTTGTTTCAAAACTATTTTTTTAAACTGTACTTGCAAAGTTCAGTGTCCTTATAGTATTTTAATATAAAAAACAAGCATATTTTAAATATGTTTTTAATATAGTTATTTATACAATTTTTTTATACGTATGTATAAAAACACTTTCTTTATCTGAATTTGTGCCAAAAAACTTTCCGATTATTTTTAAATTTTTTTTCATATTAATAGAAAATATATAAACATTGCGGTTTTATGGACTTTTAAATGTACTACACGTACATCTAGAAATAGAATTAACTAAATGTTTTAAGTTTTTTTCCACAATTAAAAGAATATTTTACGCTTTTAAAAAAGTAATTTTCATAATTTTGTACTCATAGTCGTAACTAAATGGAAATGTAAAAATTGATTCCTCTATTTCGAATGCAAATGAAAATGTTTTGAAGGTTTCATGTTTTGCACTCATATCGAACAACATTTAAAACGATACCTTTTTTAAGTCTTTTTTAGAAAAAACAAGTTGCTAATCTTTAAAGATATTTTGAAATTGACTTCGAATTTTCAAACATTTCTTTGTATTCAATAACTACGTTAAATATGTTTTAAAATTTGTGAAAATTCCAAAATTTTCTTTACATTTTGAGGTTAAAATTTGTTCATATAAAACTAAAATTTTATAAATCTTAATGATTAAATGATATTTACATCTTGAAAATTTTATTCGAACATAAGTTCGAATTTTCGAAATTATAGTAAAAAGCTTATATTATGATCTAACTTTGAAAATACTTCATAATTCATGAAAATTTTATAATTATTTTTAAATTCTAAAAATAAATTGAAAGAATTTTAATTATTTTTAATATTTTTAAGTTCGAAATTGAAAAATTAAGTTCTAGTTCAGTTCTAGTTGAGTTTTAGTTCAGTTCTAGTTCAGTTCTAGTTCAGTTCTTGTTCAGTTCTAGTTCAGTTCTAGTTTAGTTCTAGTTCAATTAGTTCAGTTCTAGTTCAGTTCTAGTTCAGTTCTAGTTCAGTTCTAGTTCAGTTCTAGTTCAGTCCTCTACACTCTTATGTGAAAAAAGGGAAAAATGTAATAGACTTTTCAACATTTTTAGCCTTGAGATTGGAAAATTTAGAAATTTATATGGAATAACATACAAATTTTATATTTCTATAAATCCTGATTAGAGATTGTTTAACAAGATTTAAAACTGCTTCGAACATAAGATCGAATTTTCAAATTATGTATATTAAAACGCTTCGGAATAACATTGAAAAGATTTTAAAAATATTTTCAAAATTTTGAAGTTCGTAATACGAAAATATTAGAAATTGGAATCAAACTAGAATTGTGTGCATTATGGATGCCAAAATTTCAGCCTATTCAGGTATTTGCTCTATTCTATCTCTTCGGTATTCACACACATCCTATAAAAGTATAGAGTGTCTTCTTCCTAAGACTTTTCCCTAATTCGAGAAAAAACCGGTTGCTTTAAAGTTAGTAATATGATCTAAGAAAGATTGTTTCTCAGATTTCTCAGTTTCTTCTGGCTAAATCTAGTCCCAAACTTGTTTTAGTTTGTTGGTCCATTTATGTTTTAATACTTTCATAAACCTTTTACTAAAATAGGCCGTGAAACACATCAGTGCCTTAAGTACCGCCTAACTTTCGGTTGATACAGCTTCGTTAAGTCAATAGTTCCGGAGCAATGATCCATTTGTCGTAGAAATGTTACTCTCGTCCAGTTTAAACAAGTTTCTTCGGAAAATTTCTACCAATATCTTTTTTGATATTTGATATTCATATTTTCCAAATGAATTGGACATGTCATGCATGATAATAATTGTATCTCTTTGGAAATATACTTGAAATATCTTTTATTTGTTATACATTTTGTATAAATCTAAATCGATGGTTTACAAATATGTGTAAAATTTTAAATTATTGTTTTTTAATTGCATTAATTTATATTACTAATATGAACATATTTGCAAAGAATTTTAAATTAAACTAAATTTGTTCGATTGATTTCAGAAATCAGAGGTATTAAGGTCTTAATATATTAATATTTTTAAATTTCGTTAGAAGGATTTTATAAAACACTTCCATTTCCGTTTTTTTTTTTTAACAAATATTATTAACTTTGCCACATGCATTAGGAAATACATTCATATTTCATTAAAAAAAACAAATTAAAATTCAAATATAGTATGCGCTCGAATGGCAGTAAAGTTAATTTATTATTTTTCAGTTTATAACTTCTATCAGCAGCAAGTACGCAGCTCATACACATCCACACATTTAAATTTTAATCTTCAAGTGCAAAAAAGCTCTATGAATCATACATTTATTTTCAATTATTGCATACGATTCAAGTGCTACAATTGAAAATACAAATTCAAAGGTAATAGCGTATAAATATTATTTATAATAATAAAAGACAACACAAAATGTAGACAAAAATTGAACACTGGAAACAAAATATAAAAAAATAACAACTAAAAATATGTGTAATCTTATCTAAGGAATGCCAGTGAAATAAAAATTGTATTGTAATAATAGTTTAGGTTTCCAATGTGTGCCGTCTGGAGCAGACTTACCTTTTAAGTGCATAAAAATCATTTTTTGTCTTTCGGTTATGGATTTTGAGAGTAGAGGACCACGTTTATCTTTTGGTATATTCATATCCTCTAGAATTTCCATAAACTTAACATCCACCTCAGAATCACTCAGACCACGTATGGTTTTTTCCAATTCCTGTAGATCAAAGGCAGCATCACCTTCCGCCGATGTGGGACGACCGGATAAAGTGCCTGTATTGTAGTTGCCACCTTTGGTCTTGGGGCGACCAAACCAACTTTCCAGTAGGCCACCCGATTTTGTTTTTTCATGTTTAGACATTCTAAAAGCAAAGATATGCATGTTTTTATTGAGATGTTTAATTAATTTTAAAAAGGAATGTTTTCAATTATAAAAAAACAAATCTTTTGAATTTTATTGAGCTGCAACTAAAGGGTATGTAAGAGTTTCAAAAAGGAAATTGTCAGAAAAACACAGCTGATATGTCTGCTTTGGGTAGCTGAAATATTAAGACAGGGTAGGATGGCATAGTGTGGGAGAGAGGTTTGTTTATTTGTCTGATTTGTAGTGAGTAACAGGACAAGCTAGTAAAAAAAATTGTTTTGATTTTGTATATTTTAACCGCTGTTTTTATTTACGTTTACGTTCTGTGTTTTTTTATTTTGTTTTGCTTTACTGGGCATCTGGAACTGAACGTATGAATGAATGAACATGTAAGAAAATTGAGAATGAATTAAATTTTTTATCTATCTGGTATCTTTCTGTTAACAGTGGTCAGTATAAAGAAATTAATATTGCATTTTTAAACAGGCCTGCCACCAGACGATACTGTATCTGTCTATCTATCTATCTATCTATCTATCTATCTATCTATCTATCTATCTATCTATCTATCTATCTATCTATCTATCTATCTATCTATCTATCTATCTATCTATCTATCTATCTATCTATCTATCTATCTATCTATCTATCTATCTATCTATCTATCTATCTATCTATCTATCTATCTATCTATTCTATCTATCTATCTATCTATCTATCTATCTAGCTATCTATCTATCTATCTATCTATCTATCTATCTATCTATCTATCTATCTATCTATCTATCTATCTATCTATCTATCTATCTATCTATCTATCTATCTATCTATCTATCTATCTATCTAGCTATCTATCTATCTATCTATCTATCTATCTATCTATCTATCTATCTTTGGAAAATTTGTTTTTTTCTGCCAAAAAAGCTATAATGTTCATGAAGTCTTACCGCCTCAGCATAGTTAACACATTAATACCATCCATAATGTATAAAACTTTAAAACCCCGCGTCTAATTAGACCACTGTGCAAATCCAGTTTTTGATTATATTTGTTTCTATATTCAATTGAGTCCGATGGCATGCGCATTTTTGCACATAATCATAATGAAAAAATTATAAAGTCTTATAATATTAACACCAGATCTGCTACAATCGTACAAAAAATAAATTAATATTACAAAACTATTAACTAAAACTATACGCTACACTCAATTTTATTATTACTTTACTTATTCAGAATGTTCACTCAAGCAAACAATTAAAAACAAAAACAGAAAAAACATTATCTATCAACGGTTTAACTTACTACATATTTTGAAATTGATTATTTGAAAATAAAAGAAGAACAAATAAAATATTGTTGATGTTTGAAATTAAGAGAGAATAATTTGAAGACTCATTATACAGCAAATTAAATTATAAGAGAGTAGGCAATAGCTAGTGCAGTTTCGGTTTATATTGTTTAAATAAAATGTATTTGATAATAAGATTCTCCAAATACTGGTACTATAAACAAAAAACAAATACAAATTCATTAGGAATGTTTTTAACACTTAATACCAATACGTGCACTAATGACATCATAGCTATTGAAATAAAAAAAAATAAAATATAAACAAGTGAAATAATATTGAAAAAAAACTTAATAAATTAAATAACACAACTGCATTAGTTCATTTGTTAGAAAATAAGCAGATGATCGATCGTTTATTATTTAGCAATGAACCATAGAGGTATAGAAAGGTGTTATAGGGAATTCTGCTAGAATTGTGTATGAATAATGTTCAATTAAGAAAAATTAGAGTAATTTTTAAGGTATTGAGATGTCTATCTATCTATCTATCTATCTATCTATCTATCTATCTATCTATCTATCTATCTATCTATCTATCTATCTATCTATCTATCTATCTATCTATCTATCTATCTATCTATCTATCTATCTATCTATTTATCTATCTATTTATCTATCTATTTATCTATCTATCTATCTATCTATCTATCTATCTATCTATCTATCTATCTATCTATCTATCTATCTATCTATCTATCTATCTATCTATCTATCTATCTATCTATCTATCTATCTATCTATCTATCTATCTATCTATCTATCTATCTATCTATCTATCTATCTATCTATCTATCTATCTATCTATCTATCTATCTATCTATCTATCTATCTATCTATCTATCTATCTATCTATCTATCTATCTATCTATCTATCTATCTATCTATCTATCTATCTATCTATCTATCTATCTATCTATCTATCTATCTATCTATCTATCTATCTATCTATCTATCTATCTATCTATCTATCTATCTATCTATCTATCTATCTATCTATCTATCTATCTATCTATCTATCTATATATCTATCTATCTATCTATCTATCTATCTATCTATCTATCTATCTATCTATCTATCTATCTATCTATCTATCTATCTATCTATCTATCTATCTATATATCTATCTATCTATGCGACTCTCTCGGTATCTAATATTCATAACTATATAGAAATGGTCCGTACATGAGTTTGCTATCTAATTTCTTCCTCATACCATATGAGAGCGATCACTTAAGATCTTAACTGAACTCTTACTTCTATGAGTTAATTCTACCGCATTTGGTGACTGTACCGACTAAAAGTCCTCTCACACATCAATCTTCGTCTTATCCCAGCAAAAAAAATTTGAAGTTGTTAAAGAAGAAGGGATATTTTCATGATTTCTTTTGTACGTATTCTCTTTAATGCGTTTTAAATACATGCCTAAATTCTAATAAATTTGTCATCAGTGAAGGCATGAAAAATGCACCCAAATTCACTCATGTAACTCCACTATAGGAATTGTAATATTTTACTATAATTGGTATTCTCTTAGGAGATTTAACGAAAACGTGCATTTCATACAATAAATATTAAAAATGACATTAATTTTTTTATTAGATTTTTGTTTTTGTAGGTACCTACCTACCTAGTAATATTAAGTCCATTTTAACATTAATAAGAGAAGGAAAAAACCAAGACTGTTTAACGGATTTTAAAACACAATGGGTATTTTTCCTCTGCATGAATTTAAATCCAATAAAAATCAGTTAGTTATGTTTTATCTTATTTTATTTTTATCAATATCACACAAAAAAATATTTAAATATTGATAATTAAATCGAAATACCATTATTAATGCATTTTTAAATAAATATAGTGCACCAATGAAAATTCGCTTGAGAATCATCGAATATTCATTGGTTATAAGAACTCATTTAAATGGCGAACTATTTTTCCAAATACGAACACATGCATGCCAATGACACGCTAATGTTAAAATCATGCATGTTTCCCCTAAATATGAACCAGTTCATTATCAGTTCAACCTATGCATTTACTACTTTTTTTGCACGTCTTTTTTTGCTGGGATATTCCTCAGTGTATATTTCTAATGATCGTTTGTGGTTGGTAAATTCTACCTCATTTGGTGACAACAATTTCCCAAACATAATATGTTAAATAAAGAAAATAAGTTGAGTTTAAAATAATTTTAAAAACAAAATAAGTTACTATTTACTAAATATTTTTATTTAACTGACATATCTAATAATTTCACAAAGTTTCTGAGATAAAATGAAAAAGTTTTGTATATACTTTTATCAAAAATTTTAAAATTCTCAAAGATACAGTTGCTCCTTGACGCCTTATCTAATCATATTGCAATAATCTAATTAATTTTGTATACTTAAGCAAGTTTTATGTAAAATAATTTATTTTAAATTCTAATTACACTAATTTATTTGATGGTATCTCTTACACAAGTTCATTTAGAAAAGTAAAGTTCTAAAAATGATAAATTTCTATTAGGTAATTTTGAAGACTTTTCATAAGTATAGTAGAGAGGGTATTTTGAATATGTGCTGGCTTTTGTAACGCACAAAAATATTGATATACTAAAGGTCTTATTTTACTTTTTCTCAAAATAGAGAGTTATTTTGGGATAAATTTTATGATCGAAGCACTTTTGTGACGATCGAACCAAATTTGGTCATAGTTCCTATGCAAGCAATTAATCCAAACATTATTTTATCTGGTTATTTAAAGTATAATACAGTTGGGATTGAACAATATTTTTTTTTTTAATTAATTAATCACTGAAAATTATTTTTGAGTTTTAAGGTGTAGGCCGGAATTTGCTGACAATATATTGTAAATATTTTGTTTTTCAACTGAACATCATATGAATCATAATATAATACAAAAAAAAACTTTAAAAAAACTTTAAAAAAACTTTAAAAAAACTTTAAACATTAAAAAAAAGAAAAACTTTAAAATATAATTGACAAATAAAAAAATGGTCAAATATTAATGTTATAACAACAGGTTTTGAGCAGAGGTTTAAACAACTCGTTTATTAATTACCAAACAAGTAAATAAAAATGCATTTTAAGGTAATGAGGTCTATTAATTGCAATAAACAAAAACTTGTAGATTTGGCAAAATTGTTTAAGTAGTTTATAAAATGAAAGATTTATGTTATATTGAACAAAACAAAAAAATAGAAAAATATTTTTCTATCATACCAAGTTGTTTATATTTAAACAAAAAAAGTGTTTTCCTCTAACAGCAGCTATATACTCTGTTATAATTTGTTTTTATAATACTTTTGTTTACATTTCTCATTTTAAATGCTAATGCAAGGGAAACACAACGTAGGTAAGTTACAATGTAAAGAGAAAGGAAGAGCGATAGATGGAGGGATAGAAAAAAAAACAAAATAAAACCACCAAAACATAAAATATATGGAAAAAAGGAAATGCGCTATGGAAGAACAACAATAACAACAAACTACTACAACACACCGTTGTAAAATAGACAAGAAAAGCATACCAATACATACACTTCTACTTTTATTTACACTTAGTTGGTGTAAATTGTATATGTACACAAATATTCTAGTGATCATGTTGATGATGATAATGGTGCAAATGTTCACTATCATTATTATTAATAGTGTTGTTGTTCTTGTTATTGATAAAATGCAGATCTTCTGGATGTTCAAGATGTGGTTGTTTTGTAGTTGTTTTTTCTTCTTTCATCTGGTTTACGCCCTGGCCGATGATTGTGAGAAGAAAATAAGTAAAGAAAGTAAAGTTGATCAAGCCTGACTATTTGATACCCTATATACCGATATTATCTTACTGTCAGAAGTGGATTTTGAACCTGATCGTAATAAGCTAAATACCTAACAATGATTTTTTATAATTACATATATACCTATATTCAAACTATATATTTTAGATATCGCTGAATTGTTAGAAATTTTAATTTTTTTCATCTAAATTTATCTAGGTCCATAACCACATAGGTTTTCGCGGTTAAACATCCCATTCGAGACGTTTTAACAGCGTGAAGTCAATTCGATTTATAATTTTTGTTGTTGTCCAAATGTTGTTGTAACAGATAAAACTTATTCTAGTTGGGGAGTTCAGCATCAATGTCTAAATCTTAAAATTGTGATACTTTAACAGCATGTGTCCATAAATCCATTAGACAAAGTGAAGTAGGTCTGGCTAAGATGTTGAATATGTGGTGGATATCATGTGGACCTTGATCACAAGTTAGGGACGTCATGGTCCATGCGCAACCAGTAGGCATGACGATTTTAGATGTGACAGAACTAACCTAAAGGTGTTTTAGCGCCTAAATTAGAATACATAATTAGCGCAGACCAATCATTTAGAAATGTATTCTTTGATCTCTGGTTTTCGGATATTATCGAATTAGATTACAAAGTTTACTTGAACAAATTCTATGGCGATGTTTCCACTGATAGTTAGACACATCTTGACAAATACATAATACCCTCCACTTTATAGTGCTATAGGGTATACAAATATGAAAAACAAACTTTTAAAATTCCTTGTGATCTTCTGTATATAAACAAAAACTTTCAATTTCAACCCTTCTTTCCAAAAAAACAAGAAATTTCTAAGAAATCTATGAGAATATCAAATACACATGAATTTTATGGTCTTCTTTTCAAAATCTGGTTTTGTTAAATATAATTCTTATCTCACCTTGTTTTATTCGCGAGTTTACGTCATAGAATCCAAAAAATATCAGCAAACTGCAAAGACAATATTTTTATCGTTTTCTTTTTAAAAAGTCAACAACAGCACACAAATTATTAAAACAACTTAGTGTAGCACCAAAAATTCTATATTGTTGTTATTGTTGGTAGGAAAGCCAATGTGTTGTTTGTAGCTGTTGTTGGATGGATGGATGATTGGATGTTTTGTTTGTATAAGATTTTATTTTTTAAGTAATGAAGCTTGTCTTGAAACGTTAAAAACGAATAATAAAAAAAATTGATATTTATATTGGCTGTAGCTGATGACTGGTCCGATTTTTCAAAGAGTATAGAGTATATTTGAGATTTTGTTTAAGAAACTCTTAAAATTTGTTGTTTTTTCTCTATAAAAGTGAATAATCATCACCTCGTTTTACAATATTTCTTTTTTTTTTGTTTTTGAGCCACAATTCTAATACACAATTTCTTTAGTTTTGTGGACTTTGCCAACTTTGTTTTTTTGTTGCGTTTTGTTATTTTTTCCACCACTTGTTGATTATTTTTTCAGTGTTTTTTTATAACAAATTACTTTATTTTTATATTAATTGCAATAACAATTTTGTTTATTTCTTTTCGTTTATATTTTTTATAATTAGGCTTTTAGATTTTTCTTCAAATTATTATATCTAACACTAAAATGTTATAATTTTATGCGCGATGCGATTACAAAAAAGTCGTGTGTTCATTTGTTGCCAAGTTTTTTTTTAAGTCTGTTACCAGAGCCCTGCGCCGACAAATATTAACGGCGGCGGCGACTGATACTAACAGTGTCAAAGTAAATTTATAAAGTAGACTCATTTGAACAGCTGACTATTTTTTTTAAACTTGCTATATGTGGACTTACTTGTCAAAAATGTTTACGTTGCCATATTTGTTTTCATTTTAATGCTTGCTTTTGTACAAATTTCTGAGTAATTTGTTGTATTTAGTGTATTTTAAGTGTATATTTTTAAAAATGTTCTAATTTTTAAAAAATAAAGATAACTCTGTGACTTTTAATATAAATAACAACATATTTTTGGAAAGTACAACAATAATGCCATATTTTCCATTAATTATTGGTTAATTTTTGTAAACAAATTTTGACAAGTGAGTATTTCGAACAAAAACAAATTGCCTGTGGTTTTTGTAGACGTTTGTTGTACAACAACTCGTGTCGCTACTTTATTAATTTACTTTGAACAGTGTGACCAGGTCTCAAAAAATGTTGCGGCTAAATCCCATCCAAAATAATGCTAGAAAAAATGCTAAATTGATTTTAAAATGCCAAAAAAAAAATGCTGACATTTTTTAAGTGTTTTTATGAACAATTCATATTAATTTGTAACTGATATTCATTGTAATTTATAACAAGTAAGAAAGTATATTCTGCCGTGGTTGACCATATGAGTATAAAATTTGATTTATTTTTCGTAATAAAGCATTTATGTTGAATTGAACCGTGGTTCCGATATATTTAAACTAATTTTCTGAGAAAGGCTTTATACATTTGTATATGTATGGGGGCTAGGTAATAATAAATTGTCATTGGATCAAAAAGCATACGTGCTTATTGTTTTGAAAATATCAACCTCTACCAGACGGCCATGTAGGCTTAATCGATTCAGAAAATGATTCTTAACCGATTAGTATACTCAAACGAAGTACATAAGTATTAAGATATACAGAAATGCTAAAAATTATTTCAAAATTTTTGTAAATTTAGCAATATGTAATGTCTCTAACTTTAAAATATTTCTGAATGCAAAAATTACATTAAAATTCTATTAATTACACTAGTTGCTCATGGTATAAAACCTATATGTGTTTTCGGAAGGAAAAGTATAATATTTCTAGTTTTACTTTTTTTTATATAAACAATTTTATTTGTCTTCCTCAAAACACTTTAAAAATGGTTTTCATGTCACAAAAATATTGAAAATTCCGTTGAAATAATTTTAAATCTCGGTGAATAGATGTCAGGTTTATAGCTCATACTTCCAAGATTTTTTCGGAAAAATATATATGAGAATGTATGAAATGAATTGAGAGATATATTCAAATCCGTAAGTTTGTAATTCTGGAATAAATTGTCAATAATATTTTCGAAATTTATGTATTTTTTTTTTTAATTTAAAAAAAAAAAACGTGACAACAAAATTACTAAAAATTTGGTAAAAATAAAAAGAACAGAAAGTAGGATGAGAAAGTCTTAATTATATATTATTGATTTTTTTCAATACTTATTTTCCATAAATTAACAAGAACTCCTGAAGGATGATAAAAATTAAAACCTCTTTATTTCGTATAGGAAAAAATAAAATTTGTTAATTAACCGTCATACATAGTCTTTTCCAAAATTATATGTTTCATTCCATGAGAAAACAAAAAGTATTAGTTTGTAAAATAGCGTACTGAACGTATTTGTAAAAATATATGAAATCTCTTGAATTATTTCTATCACCTCGAATTTAAAAAAGCATTGGGTTCCAGAAAAATATTTTAGAATACAACATTTTATAGTATTCACTTGTATTGGCGTAATTTTAAGTTATTTATCTTCATGAATCTTTTTGCATTATTTTGAATTACAGTGTAAATTATTACATTTCTCATATTTCTTGTTGCTTGTGTTTGGGTAGACATTTAATTCTGATTTTTCCGGTTAAACCTATTTCCAATATAAATCTTTTTTACAAAAATTTGTCTTTTTTTGTTTATATACTAAAATTGCAAAAAAAGCTAAAAATGCTAAAAATATTTTATAAAAATGCTAAATAAAATGCCAAATGCTAAATTAAAATTATACAGCTAAATCAAAATAAAAAATGCTAAATCTAGCTGCAGAAATGCCAAAATGGTCACACTGGACACTAAATATGTCGGCGGCGGCTTAAAATCGTCTGTAAGCCGGCTAAGTTTTCAACTACGTTTAGTTTTTAATTTTTCAACGATTTTAAATAAAAACGGAATCCGAGAGATCAGAAAGTGGGATTTTGGAAGCAAATATATTGTTTATAACAACAAAACAGAGCAAGCTCAAAAGTTGTGTGAGAAATTATGCAGGGATGAATAAAAAATTCTTAAAAATTAAAAACAAATCCTTTCTCCAAGTTTTACTAGGATCTGCCGATATTTAAGCCTATCTTCCATACAAAACATCTTGCAGAAAATCAGTTTCTAAAATATTTTGCATTAAGAAAATGATCAATAACGTAAAAACAAAGATATTTTATTTGTTTATTTACTAGCTATACCCAGTGTACTGTGCTACCCTAAAAGCAATATAAATAAGAAACCCACTTAACGATTTTGATGCTTATAACTACAATGGTTTTCCAGATATACAATTTGTTACATATGGGAGATTCCACGCAAATTATTGCAATTTCGGCAATTATACCGAACGTTAATTAAGATTTTAATTTAATCTATGAAAAATTTTAATAATCTAATAGTTTCCCAGATATACAAAATTTTGTATTTAATTCATATGGGAAGTGCCAAGCCCCCCATTGAAAGTCCGCCCGTTATTCTCTAAATGTTCTTCAGTAAAAATTGAAATTCTAGCTCTAATAGTTTCTCAGATATACGAATTTTTCTATTTAAATCATATGGGAGCTCCAAGCCCCCCAGATGAAAGTCCGCCCTTTTTTCTCCAAAATGTTCAGATGAATATTAAAGTTCTTCGTGCAAAATTTGAAGAATTTAGTTCTATTAGTTTCCCAGATAAACGAATTTTTGTATTTAATTCATATGGGAGGTTCCGCTCCCCTCATTGGTAGTCCCCCAATTTATTACCCAAAATGTTTACATGGATGTTAAAGTTCTTCCAGAACAACATCATTTAAAGGGATCACAAAGAGATTGAAAAATATTCCAAAAGTTTCACTTTGAAAACATTATTAGAATGTATGAAAACTCGCAACTCTAAAGGCAGACTATTCCTATTTTAGCGGTAATTTATGATTAAAATAAGTAAGAAGTAAGAGTTATATTCGGCAAATCATATGTCGTAAAAAAGCAAATTTCGGAAGTGGTCCGATCATTAGATTAATAAGAACGTCACCGTGATTTTCGGATTAGGGACTTAAATGTGGAATTGGATCAATAATATATATAATTTAAAGTATTTTTTTTAATTCTACCATGATAATGATAACTTTTGGAATGATGTATTAGCTATAAACTGATTTTCTGTAAGAGGGTTATATTGGCAGACCGATCCTCATAACTTTATTTTTCATAAATGTAGGTTTCGGTTCCTAAAAATGTTTTTTTCGTCGACATCGACATTTGAAATCCATTTATTTGCGTTTAAGTCATTTTCTCAAGAAGATTTCATATACATACATATTTGCATTACATATTTTCGTTCCAACAAAAATTGTTTTATTATGGTATTATTAAGTACGTAAAAAACGTTAAAATCAATTATTGAAGGGGGCAGGGTCAATTATGGCCTATAGAGATTTCGATTGATATCGAGCCCTTTTTGCAAAATGGACGTAAGCGAGATAAATTTTCGTTCAATTAGGATACTGCGTGTTTAATTTTATGTTTATATATTCAATATTTTAGAAAATTCAAAAAGTACCAGTTAAAGAACGAAAAATTACCAGAAATACTCCAGTTTAAATTTTCATTCACTCAAGTCCCTGATTGCTTAGTTTTATGTTTTTAGGTTCATTATAATAGAAAATTCAAATAGAACCAGTTGAAGAACGAAAAAGTTCCAAAAAGTCCCCTTTTATATGTTATCACTTAATCCGGGCTGTACATTCCTAATTTCATGTTTCTAGGTTCAATATTATAAAAAATTCAAAAAGTACCAGTCGAAGAATGAAAAAGTACCAAAAAGTCCACTTTTATAGATTCTCAAGTGCTTAATTACATGTTTCTAAGTTCTAAATCAAAAAAGTACCAGTTGCAACATCGTATTGGGAGCCCGTTATTTTGTATTCATATGTATAAGTTAATAAACCAAAAACAATGTTTTATAAAAAAGTACCAAAAATAGGTACAATTTTCACCCCTTAATTTCCGAATATCCAAAAAGTACTAAATTCATATTTTTATTTGTTCGTCAAGTTATGAAGGATTCAAAAATATTTTTTGAATGTTCTCTGGTTTAAAAGATACATGGGGTGCAAAAGAAGTACCAAATTACAGTTTCTACCCGTTTATTCCCCAAAGGGGCCGAATTTGAAAAAAGTACCAGACACCTGTCCGCCTATTTTTTAAATGAATGACGATAAGCTTTAAACTGTTTTTGTATCTTTTATAGTTTAGGAGATATGAGGTTACCGAATTTACCCGTTTTTACCATTTTTAACCCCCTAATCATTCGAATTTCCAAAAATCCCGTCTTAGTGGATCTATTTGGTGGGAGACCAACCTCCTGTCCAAATTTTAGCTCTTTAGCTAAAACCATTTAGGCTGTGCGATGATGAATCAGTCAGTCAGTAACGTTAGAATTTTATATATGTACGTATGTATGTACATATATAGATTTCGTGCATTGAATTATACTGTAAAAAGATTCTAATGTTCGACTTGAATTCAAGTTTCGTTTTCACTGGAGAATGCTATTGAATTAAAGTGTAATGAAAGTGAATTTCAACACTTGAAATTTGAATGTTTGACTGGAATTAAACTTGTTTTAAACTTTAATTCCAGCAAGAATGCTTATTTGGTATAGTGTGACAAATATAAGGGATCTAAAGTCGACTTAAAGTCCACAATGGTTAGTACCAATATTTTGCCCAAAACAACATCTACATACCTAGCCAGGTTCTATCCTCTAGGTCCGTGAAGACATTCTCTACAAAGCTATAAATTTGTATAAAAGACGGCTTAACAATTTTTTCTTGTAAATATTCGGCCACCATAGTGTTTGGAGACAACAAGAGCTTCACTGAAAGGCACACCTGACAGACATCGCGCTCTATTATGGGTGTATGGTAGTGATTCTGCTAAGATCAATGGTATAATAATAAGTATGTATCTCAACGATACCCCCTGAATACGGCAATCAGCTTCCTTCCATTGCCTCTTGGTGATAATATACCATGTCACCACTAGCCGACCGACCACCACCCGCCTAGGCTACTAGGGAGGTATACAATTGCCACTCTCTTGTGGGCATTCTTCCAGGAGACCATCATGATGCCTCCTCTTTCTTGAAAAGAAAGACGTTCTTTATAGACAAATAAATAATTAATTAACACCATTACATACATTTTTTAATCTTCTAGATCTCACAAATATGCCAAATATAGATTTCGATAAACACTTTTGGGTATTAAACGAAAACAAACCCTGCTTTAAAAAAATTTCATCATAATTATTAACAATTTAACTAAATTCAACCCAACACTTGCTGTTTCTTTGTACAATGATCATCGGTATAGTAGTATAGCATACAATCTTATTAATTTAAATTTTTAGTAAAAAATTATTTTTTTATTTAAAGAATATCATTTCTGTCATTTTAGATTTTCGCACACACACAACAACAGATTTTTTTTGGCAAATAAAAAATGCAGAAAACAGTTTGGCGCGAAAAATTCTAGCAGAATTTCTTTTCGCAGTCGGCAGAATTGACATCAACTGCACTTCCCATTTGAAATACACATGTTCGATACCCTAGCCCTTTACGGTATGACATACCAGCAATGTAAAAAGGTGTAGCTCCGTTGACGTCAACGAAGCTGGTTTGAAGTCAAAGCAGCGACTCGAATTAGGCGCGAAAACACGAAAATATTTGAGGCGTAGCATATACATCGAACGTTGAACAAAGTTCTACAACGGCTAAATTTCAATGAGCGGCTTATTATTAGATAAAAGAAAACTTGCTTAAATGAAAACAAATTAATTTTATATTGTAAAATTCCACAAATTTAGCGAAAGTATTCTGTAAATTGTACGAAATTTTTCAGCTTAATACGGCTTTAAGCTGAAAAATTTTCGGCGGCGGCGGCTTTGACATTTCGTTCGGCGGCTAGGCTTAGTCGGCTTAAGCCGAATCGGCGCAAGTCTCTGTCTGTTACGTTTTTGAAATTTCAGTCATCAAAATTATTTGTCATTCACAATAGATACCATCAGAACAAATTCACCATGATCATTCACAGCAAAGGTGTATTGAAGGGTAAACACACAAAAAATATATGAAAATTAAAATTTTCGAAAATAGAAATTAGTCTACTAGGTTTTCAGAATAAAACCCCCTGGGAATTGACCTATTGTTATTCCTATCTCTAATTATGTTCTTTTGGTTTTCATGTAGGGTTTTGTTTCTATATATTTGGATCTTCACCCACTACGAAAGGAATCATAATTTTTTAATGGGTTGTTTCGGAATTATGTTCATATTTTTGTTATTTATGGACTGATTTTGCTAATTTATAATAAAAAAATCTCGAAAGCATTCTAATAGAATTATTGAATGCTTATCTGTGGTCTTCTAAAAACTGATACGAATAAATACAATTGGTCATTTATGTTAAAAGTGTTATAGTTGTGTTATAGAAATATTTTAAAAGTCATACGCAACTAGTCCGACTATTTATTAAGTTTTTAAATGACCTAATAGAAAACGTTTTAATATTTAGTGGGGAAGGGTTTACTGAACATTGTCATTATTTAATGAGCAAAAAGTATTTGTTTTATACTTTTCAAAAAGTAGACCAATCGGCTTAAAGCCATTTTCATCCATTCGTCTGGCTGTATATTCATAACTTGCGCACAAGGCATAGTTCTAATTTCAAGATAGTTAAATGAAATATACTAAGGATGAAACCTATTAAAAATACGGATAAACATTAGCACAACTAAGTTTTATGCATTAGCCTTACGGAATTTAGAAATGATCGAGCCTCATTTTACCTCATGCAACATAAATGCTAATAAATGCTATGGAAAATAACATATATTCATAACCAATGTAGGGTATCATAGGCCGTTCAATTTAACAAACTAAATTTTTTTACAGTCCTATTATTACTATAGTTTTTTTCACCACACTCTATTCTCTTTCGTAGCTTTGTTTAATCTCAAGGGGAATTTATAGGATGTGAAAAAATGTCAACAGCAAACTTTTTTGTACATGATCATTGTATTCGCATTGTCAAAATTCATATACAAAATAGTTTTCTTGCAATCTACGCTGTCATTATGCACCTTATAGATTCACCTTGGTTTTTAAAAAAAACACATGTTTTTTGCATTCCTTTTTGAATATTATTCATAACAAACTTTTACCAAAGCATTGCTGAGTGGGCATTTTGTTTATAAATAATCTAAACACTTTGCAATTTAATAATATTAATAAATTAAAATATAATTTAGTAGGCTAATATCAAATTTAATTAAATAAAATAATAAAATATTACTAAAATGAGTGAATATCGTAGAGGACGTGGTGGAAGAGGCGGCCGTGGAGGAGGAGGTGGTAGTGGTGGGCGACCACCATGGCTAAAAGGTAAAGATATCGGTTTGTATTATCGTGATCGACAACGTCAGCGCAATAACGAAGAAGAACGTAACGGGCGCATTAAACTCAACCCATCTGTGGATATTCCAAGCGGTGTTCTAGCACAGGTTGAAAACTGCCTCCAGGAATTCGAAAAGGACAGTGAAGATGAACGTGTTTGTGATGAATTTGCACAACATTTTCGTAATTTACTTGATATTAATTTCGAGGAATTCCTAGAGAAATCCAAAAAGTCTGTTAGAAACACTTTGGAACACATTAATTTAGAAGTCAGCAATGAACGTTTAAAAACATCACTGATGGAAAAAGAGGAATCGCAACAATATCGTAAACGTTACGATATGCGTCAACGTTTACCCGCCATGAAGCAGAGGCAAGATGTTTTGAAAGCCATAGAAGAAAATCAAGTGGTTCTTATTGTGGGCAGTACTGGATGTGGTAAGACAACACAAGTGCCTCAGATATTACTAGATGAATTTACAAATAATGGTCGAGGGGCAGAATGTCGTATTGTTTGTACGCAACCTCGAAGAATATCGGCTATATCGGTGGCCGAACGTGTGGCTTATGAGAGAGATGAATCGTTGGGTTCTTCGGTGGGTTATCAAATACGTTTGGAAAAGTAAGTAAAAAACCTTTTAAAAGAGACAATAAGAAGATCAAGGGAATTTATTTAATGATATTATTGAATTACTTTGTTTTCCAGCCGATTGCCCCGAGATTATGGTTCAATTTTATATTGCACCACTGGTATATTATTACAAAAAATGCAATCTAATCCTTTATTAATTGGTATAAATATCATAATATTGGATGAAATTCATGAACGTAGTGTGGAATCTGATCTTTTAATGGCTCTACTTAAAAAGGTAAGACTAGACTATAGACTTGACTATAAACTAGACTATAAACTAGACTATAAACTTGACTATATACTAGACTATATACTTAACTATATACTAGACTAAACTGAAAACTAGACTATAGACTAGACTATAGACTATACTATAGAATGTACTGTAGACTATACTATAGACTATACTGTACACTATACTATAGACTATACTACAGACTATACTCTAGAATAGACTGTAAATTAGGCTAGACTAAACTGAAAACTAGACTATAGACTAATCTATATAGTAGAATGTAGACTAGAGTAGACTAGAGCCTAGACTATAGAATAGACTCGTTATACAACCATATAAATATTTCCATTCGAATCATACCGCTTTTTGATAGATATTACCTCATCGTGCCGATCTTAAAGTGATATTAATGAGTGCCACCGTTTCGGAGGAAACATTTTGTGAATATTTCAATAATTGTTTTACACTCTACATTGAGGGCACTCTATTTCCCGTTGAAGTTCTTTATCTGGAGGATGTTTTGCAAGAAACCGGTTTTACTGGATTTGAAAACCTCGCACTTGCTCAAAATTCTCATGGTCGTGGTAGGAGACGTGATGGTGGAGAAGCTGGACGCAATAATCAATACAATCAAATGATCTCTACGTACTTACCGGCATTACAAGGCAAATATAATCGTCAAGTAGTCGATACTATAAGAAAATATAAAGATACAGAGGGTTGTGAAAATTTACTCTTTTTGGAGCATTTAATATTTTATATATGTGAAAATAAACCACCCGGAGCTATTTTAGTATTTTTACCGGGTTTCGAAAGAATTTCTAAATTGACAACGCAATTGCAAAAACCTTCTACGCCCAAGCACAGAGAATTGGCTCAAAAGATACAAGTTTATCCGCTGCATTCAATGATGCCTACAGTCAATCAGAAGAGTATCTTCAAGCCCGCCCCAGATGGTATGCGTAAAGTTATATTATCGACTATTTTGGCAGAGACTTCGGTCACCATAGACGATGTGGTTTATGTTATAAATACGGGTAAAACTAAAAATAAAGATTATGATATTTCACAAAATATACAAACCTTAGAGGAACAATGGGTTAGTAAAGCCAATACGCAACAGCGTAAAGGACGTGCCGGACGTGTGCAACCGGGTATTTGTTATAATTTATTTACCAGGTGTGTAAAAATCGTTTTGGAGAGTTTCTAATTTTAAACAATTGCTTTAATTTTTCAATAGAATTAGAGAACGTCTTATGTTGGAAGTGCCTATACCGGAAATATTGCGCAGTAAATTGGAATCTATTATTTTAAATCTTAAACTTTTACACATATCGAATCCTTATGAATTCCTAAAAACTCTGATTAGTGTACCAAATGAACAAGCTATTAGTCATGGTTTAAATTTATTAAAACGGTAAGTTTAATTTAAAGAATTTGAAATTTATTGAGTTAACAAATTTTTATTTTAATTTATAGCATTGAGGCCTTAGATGTTAATGATAACTTAACACCATTGGGTTTGCATTTAGCACATTTACCCATAGATCCGCAAATGGGTAAAATGATTTTAATGTCTGCTCTTTTCCGCTGTCTGGATCCCATAACCTCTGCTGCTGCTGGTTTATCTTATAAAAGTCCCTTTTACACACCGATGGGTTTGGAAAAAAAGGTGGATGCTATTAAGCGTGAATTGTCTAATAATTGTAAAAGTGATCATTTATTAATACACAACGTTATCGAGGGCTATCGTGAGGCCAAAGATAATAATTGTCATATGAACTATTGTTATGAGAATTTTCTTAGTCACACGACACTTACACAAATTGAAAATATGAAACGACAATTTGCTGATTTATTGAAAAATTCAAGTTTTTTGGAATCATCAAATTGTTGTGATAAAAGTTCGAATGTTAATTCGTCGAATGTGCCTCTGTTGAGGGCGATTATTGCTGCTGGCCTTTATCCAAATATAGCATTTTTAAGGTAAACTTAGAAAATAATATACTATAATATTATTATATTTGGCGAATGAAATTTTTATAAAATTTTTGTCATTTTATGAATTTAAAGTGTTTTTTTGTAAATTTTTTATTTAGACAAGTGAAACAAGTAGGCAATAGATGTCATGCGCTGCATAAAATGTCAACGCCGGAAGATAATCGTGTAAATTTTCATCCTTCCTCTATTAATTGTGGTCAGACATCATTTGATTCAAAGTAAGTTAAAGAAAGAAAAGGTATATTTTGATTGCGATTTACGTCTACTTTGAAAATTACAAATTCATCTTCGAAAACATTGAAAATTTTCTATAAAAAGAGATTTTTTGCAAAAATTTTTTATAAAAGGGAACTTTTTCAAAAATTTTCTATCAAAAATGTACTTTTTTGAGAATTTTTTTCAAAAGTTTTCCATGAAAGGGAATTTTTTTATCAACAAATTTTCTATGAAAAGAGAATTTGTTCGAAAAATTTTCTATGAAAAGAGAATTTTTTCGAAAGATTTTCTATGAAAAGAGAATTTGTTCCAAAAATTTTCTATAAAAAGATCGAAAAATTTTCTATATAAAGAAAATATGTATATTTCTATAAAAAGAAAATATGTGAAAAATTTTCTATAAAAAATTCTCTATATAAAATTTTATAAAAATTTCTATAAAAAGAGAATTTTTTCGAAAAAATTTCTATCAAAAAAGAACTTTTTGAAAATTTTCCATGAATAGAGAATTTTTTTTCGAAAAATTTTCTATGAAAAGAGAATTTGTTCGAAACATTTTCTATAAAAAGAGAATATGTTCGAAAATTTTTCTATAAAAAGAGAATTTGTTCGAAAAATTTTCTATATAAAGAGAATATGTTCGAAAAATTTTCTATAAGAGAATTTGTTCGAAAAATTTTCTATAAAAAGAGAATTTGTTCGAACAATTTTCTATAAAAAGAGAACTTGTTCGAAAAAATTTCTATAAAAAGAGAATTTTTTCGGAAAATTTTCTATAAAAAGAGATTTTTTTCGAAAAATTTTTTATTTAAAGAGAATATGTTCGAAAAAATTTCTATGAAAAGAGAATTTGTTCGAAAAATTTTCCATAAAAAGAGAATTTGTTCGAAAAATTTTCTGTAAAAAGAGAATTTGTTCGAAAAATTTTCTATAAAAAGAGATTTTTTTTCGAAAAATTTTATAAAAAGAGAATTTTTTCGAACTATTTTCTATAAAAAGAGAATTTTTTCGAACTATTTTCTATAAAAAGAGAATTTTTCCAACAATTTTCTATAACAAGAAAATTTTTCCAAAAATTTTCTGTAAAAAGCGAATTTTTCCAAAAATTTTCTCTAAAAATAAAGTTTTTTCGAAATATTATCTATAAAAAGAAAATTTGTTCGAAATATCCATAAAAAGAGATTTTTTTCAAAGAGTTCTCTATAAATAAAATTTTTTCCAAAAATTTTCGAAAAAATTGTTTTTTATAAAAAAAAAGTGTTTTCCGAAATTTTTGTTTCGTTTTCTTTTTCATTGCAGCTGGAGCTTGTAAAGTTTATTCTTTTAATAGTAAACAACTTCTTCAATTTATTTTCAGTTATTTTGTTTATTTGCAAAAACAAAGATCAAAAGAAGTGTATTTATTGGATGCCACCATGGTTTTCCCCATGGCCTTGTTAATATTTGGTGATGGTGTTAAAAAGGGCATAACTGCTGAAAAACAACCTTACATAAGTGTGGCTAATAAATACTTGTAGGTTTTTCCTTAAATTTAATTATTGTGTTGAAAAACTGTTTAATATTTGTTTAATTTAAATATTTAGTTTTAAATGTAATGAGAACTCTTCATTGTTTATACTGAGATTGCGTGAAAAACTTGGAATTCTGCTGCAAAAGAAGGCCTTGTACCCGTCGCCCATCGAAATCAATAGCAAGGATGAAAAGCTTATAAAGTAAGTAAAGTTAATAAAAAATGTGAAATATTTTCCATTGTCCAGTTTATAGATGTAATTTTAAAATACTTTGGAAATTGACAAAACTAATAGTATTTAAGTGTTGTTTTATTTTCTAGCAATTTAATTGCTTATTTGTTTTAAAAATTTCTACTCCATTAGAAATGCATATAAAATACAGTTTGTTATAACTCAATATTTCTTTGTTTCTTTTGTTATTTTTAGGGCTATACAAATTTTGCTCTCTTTGGATGATGCCGGCGATCTTGCTGATCAGTTTCTATCGACTGATGATGAAGATGATGGATCTATACCTTCACAAAGATTTAAATCCACTATCTAAATATACAAAAAGAAAAAAAATCCATAAAACATAATAAGAAATATATACTGGAATAAATGTGCATGTGTGTTAAATGGTGTCTGTGGGGGTTTTGTGATCTTCACTGTTTCTTTCAGTTCAATCATCTTCAAGTAAAGCAAATGTATTGCGTGATGTAGAAGGTGGGGTTAATTCGCGTTCATTTAAATCTTCATCATCTTCATCGGCATTGGTTTCATCATTGGAACTGCTTAGTTCATCTGTGTCATAAGCACCTTGAAAAATAAAAGAGAGAGAGAATGTCATTCATAGTAATATTCAATTTCATTATTAACTTAATACACCTACTTTCCGAATTAACCGAAGAAGTATCTTCATTATCCACATTATTTTTATCATCCTCTTCATTATCATCATCACCGGGTAAGTTTTGATATTTCTTAACCTCTTCTATGTCTGCATGTTTTAGCCACATTTCACGTTGTTCATTAAATTGCGGTGGATAGAATTGTAAAATCAATTGTAGTTGACCTGCCACACAGGAACGCAACAAATGATTTGCTGCCCGATAACGATCAGGCCTACCCGATTTAGCTATGATAAAGCCACGCTTGAAAGCCCAAGCATCTGCTATGGCCACCGGTGACCATTCATCGTAATCTTCTGGTAAATGAATTTTTAAAATTTTCGGCAAATCCAAGTGTTCGGCTATCAATTGTATAGAACGATAAGGCACTTGCAATTGTGAGATGGGAAAACTACCCAGCATAACTTGCAAGTATTTCGAAGTTGACGATGGAAATACCAAACCGGGACAATCACAGAGACGCACAACATTTGTAAGGAAAATTGTCTGAAAGTGTTTAGTGTGTCCGGGGGTACGGCTAACACTTACTACTTTACGTCCTTTTAGGGCATTGATTAGTGATGATTTACCCACATTGGGAAAACCTACACAGCCTAAGGTTAAAATACCTTTGTAATACTTTTCATGCTTCTGTCCATCACCCTCGTGTGGCATTGTACTTTGTAATTCATCGGTACACTTTTCCACAGTTTCGATTTCATTGTCGAGGCAAACATTATCGACATTCATGTCTTCGAGGATTTTCTGTTCCCAATTTGTCAGATCCACTTCGGATTGTACAATTTTCTGACATTCTTTAAAAATATTGTAGACTCCTTCAATACTGCGTTTATAGTCTAAGCGACGACGTTGTTGGGTGCCTAGAAACAAATTTTAAAAATTACCTATAAAAATTAAATTTGTTCGAAAAATTTTCTAAAAAAATAAAATTTGTTCGAAAAATTTTCTAAAAAAATAAAATTTGTTCGAAAAATTTTCGAAAAAAATATTATTTTTTCGAAAAATTTTCTATAAAAAGAGAATTTTTTCGAAAAATTTTCTATAAAAAGAGAATTTTTTCGAAAAATTTTCTATAAAAAGAGAATTTTTTCGAAAAATTTTCGATAAAAAGAGAATTTTTTCGAAAAATTTTCTATAAAAAGAGAATTTTTTCGAAACATTTTCTATAAAAAGAGAATTTTTTCGAAAAATTTTCTATAATGAGAGAATTTTTTCGAAAAATTTTCTATAATGAGAGAATTTTTTCGAAAAATTTTCTATAATGAGAGAATTTTTTCGAAAAATTTTCTATAATAAGAGAATTTTTTCCAAAAATTTTCTATAATAAGAGAATTTTTTCGAAAAATTTTCTATAAAAAGAGAATTTTTTCCAAAAATTTTCTATAAAAAGAGAATTTTTTCCAAAAATTTTCTATAAAAAGAGAATTTTTCCAAAAATTTTCTATAGAAAGAGAATTTTTCGAAAAATTTTCTATAAAAACAGAATTTTTTCGAAAAATTTTCTATAAAATGAGAATTTTTTCGAAAAATTTTCTATAAAAAGAGATTTTTTTCGAAAAATTTTCTATAAAAAGAGAAATTTTTCGAAAAATTTTCTATAAAATGAGAATTTTTTTAAAAATGTTCTATAGAAAGAGAATTTTTTTTTTGTAAAATTTTCTATAGAAAGAGAATTTTCTATAAAAAAAAGAAATTTTTCGAGAAATTTTCTATAGAAAGAGATTTTTTCGAAAAATCGAAAACAAGAGTTTTTGATTGAACAATTTTGTTTGTATCCTTATTACTTACCTTTCTTAGCTTGTGCTGGATTCGAAGCAAATATAACCACTGGCAAACCAGGATAAGTGGTTTTAAAGTAATCGCGCCAGGCTACTACCACTTCTGGGGCCACCAAATCCACTTTATTGAGAATTAAAATGGCATGTTTACCCAGCTTATTGACAATATGATCATACAAAGCGGGCGGGAACATAAGGGTCTAAAATGCATACACGCAACGATAAAGAAATTGTTATGAACATGAACAACTTTATAAAAACTTCTTACCGAATAACGAACATCCACAATGATTAACAAAATATCGGATATTTCTAAAACACGCCACAATTGACGCCAAGTTTCCAAATTTAATTCGAACAAAGATAAATCCTTATTTTCCGATTTTTGTTTATCCTGTAGCTTTTCCACATATTCCTGTTTTATTTAAAGAATATTTTTGAAATACGCTGTTTTGAGTTTACTCTTTTAATAAAGACTTACACGAAAATATTTATTTTCATTACGATCCAGAGTAACCTTATCCATGTCATAACTCCATTCGGGACGTATGGGAAAATCATAGCCCTCATAAAAACTGGCATCAATTTCCCTTTGTTTAGGTGTGGCCGGATTGTAGGGTTTCAAACCTTCTAACTTCAAACGTTCCAATTCCTTTCTGGACTCCTGGTAGAAGCACAGATTATAACGATTGACATTTTTATTGCGCCCGCCGGCACCACCACTGGGCTGAGAGCGCATCATTAATTTACGTGCAATAAATTCATTATCTTCGGTAGTTTCGCCATCATCATTATCATTCTGAGTTCTTAAATATTTCTGTGAACCTGTGGGTGAGTTTTGTTTTATTATTTGTACAAACAAAAATTTAAAAAAAAAAAAAACAATTAACAACAAAACAGAATGAACCACTTGAATGATGAGTATGGAACTTGACAGTATGTGCTATTTCTAGAACACATTAATTTTTATTCACACCCATCATCATCTTCATCGTCATTAACGAAATGTTTGTGTATACGAACAAATTAATTTACCTTTTAATTGTCGCTTTTGCAACAATTGATCCTTCTTCTTTTTGCCACTAAAGGGCGTTTTGCGTCTGGTTTGTGGCATTTTTCCTTTAACAAATAAAAATTTTTAAAGTTTTTTTTTTTATTTTTCAATTCTTTTTATTTTATTTATTTTCACTATATTGCAAATTGTTTTGCAATAATGTGGATCCGGCATAAATAAAACGAGATTAAACAATAAATAAAAACAGCTGTCTCAAACAAAGTTGCATAAATTAGTATAATTGTTTTGGTATTGCTAAGAAAATACAACTGTGTAGTTTTTATTATCGGAGACAAGAACCATTTTACAATGGCAGTGCATTAGGTTGGTTCATTTTCGTGTGGCAGGTTAAATAAGTTATTAATATGTAATTAGTTTAGTTTAAACAATTTTTAAAAATACATAGTGATATTATTTAATATGTACAACTAAATAAACAAAGTGACGAATTTTACTATTTTCCCTTTTTTTCATTAGAAGTAATATGCTGCAAAGCTTAACATTTTCAAAAAAGTTAATGATAAAAAAGTTGTCAAAATAATCTACGACTACTCATGTCGAATTTGATACATAATACCAATAAAATGTAAATTCGACTACGACTACGAAATAACTCCCCATTTTTAATGAGAAATAATGATCCAAAAAATGAAATAAATTCCAAAATTTCGTTGTTGCTGCTTTCTGAATAAATTTTTGGGGTCTTTTTTCATTTTTGATTTGGGGAGTTATTTCGAGAGGTATTATTGGGGACAAATCCCCATATCTGCCGGCACTGACTAGAGTTGTTTCTGTCGATGTCCATATGTCCATTTATAAGTTAAGTTTGTTTTTAAATGTCCGTCTGCCCGAATGTATGAGGTGGTTAAAAAAACTTATATTTATATTAAGTTAAAAAAACTTATTCACTTTTTTCGGAAATCCTACCATTAGAGATTTGATAGTTACTCTCCCTGCATTTTTAGACCAGGTGGTTCACTGACGCATAAAGTCAGATATGTCCAGGGACACCTTTTCTGTGTTATTATTTATTTTAACATCTTTTCATAGGCCGAATTTCTGGACAGTTTTGTCGATTTGCCTCTCGTGGTACAAAATTGTCATTATTTATTGAATACCAGTTAAGAGCCTTTTTTTTTGGAAGTGATATGATATCAAATCGTTCTAGAAATATGATGCTAGTCAGTGCTGTTTAAAGATGTGTAAAACCTCCCCCCTCCTTTTGTAGACACTCCGTATTAGATACTTCTGTGTTTATCGAGCCACAAATGATTGGCTTCTTTGCCCACAACTGCAAATGGCTTTACGCAGAAGAAACATTTTCGGAATTTTTGTTTGTTTTTTTTTTTTTTTGTAAGATTCGAAAATGGAATAGTTTTTAAATTTTGTAAAACAAATGGAAATTTCTGAAATACAATTGGAAACGGTGTATATGGACAAATCATTGACCATAGACTATTCTAGCCTATTGACTAGTTCCTGAACTAGTCTCTGAACCAGTCTATTGACTAGTATATGGATAAGTCTTTGGACAAGTCTATGGACTAGTCAATAGGCTGGTTTGGAGACTAGTCAATAGATTAGTTCAGTGAATAGACAATAGACTAGTCCATTGACTAGTCAATAAACTAGTTAAGAGACTAGTCAATAGAATTGTTCAGAGACTAGTCAAAAGACATGTCTATTGTCTATAGTCTATGCACTAGTCTGTTGACAAGTCTCTGAACTAGTCTATTACTAGTACCCGTAATAGTCTATTAAATTGTGTTTGGATTAGTCTATGTACTAGTCAAAAGACATGTCTATTGTCTATAGTCTATGGACTAGTATATG